TCATGAGAGTTAAAGGGTTAACACTTCAACTTTGAGTTGTCATTGGCTCCTTGTGGTTTTTCATTTCATTTATCTGATTTTCCACTGTGTTCTCTTTGGTTTTGGTTTGATGATTGTTATTTAGCAAAATACACTCTTGATTTGTCTAAAACTTGGATTGGTTAAGGCACCTTGTATGTATATATCATCACCACATACCCTTGGTATTTGTCAAGTTATATCCTCTCTAAGAGATATTTTCAAAAATTAACAATTAGATGTCTGGATTTTTAATTTTCACCTCAGGAGAATTCTGGCACCCACTGTGACTATGAGATAAAAAATGAAAATATAAACATAAAAAGGATTAGATTGAAAAAAGAAAAACATCTATGATTGCATTTCGCTTTTTGCTTGGGGTAATCATTTTTGAAGGATTTAACCCTTGATATCCAAACATCAGTGTGCAAGTTCTCCTTAACGTTCTCTATACATTTCCCAAGGTGCTTACAAGGAGAATTTCTCAAACAATCAAGGGCTTATAATAATTATCTTTATTGAGATCACTTTTTCATACAATAAATGATCATTTCCTTTATTTTTGATACCATAATGTTTGATTTAGGGGTGATTATGAAAGGAGAAATTAGATCTTAATCACTCTTAGAGGTTAAAAGGTTGAGTTACCAATATGAGACAGTTGATTGACATTAATAGATATTTCCAAATGGCTGGCATCTGGAATTACATTCCAAGAGGATATTAAATGTCTGGATTAACTTTCACCATGTTGACAGTATGATGCATGAACAAGGAGCCAGTCTGATACTTCCATCTTCCTTATTTAGATTTGTATGTTCTCAAAGCTAGCTTTGAAGAGAAAAAGATCCCTAAAAATCCTGCATCATTTTGCAGGTTCTGTTACAATTAGATCAAAGGTAAAGGTTCTAATTTTATTGGCAAATGATTCAAATGAGAATTTTGGTGACTCAAGGTCATTACAAAAGACTTTTATTTTGTCTAGGGTTGTAATTTTTTCCTCACATAGTTGTAAGATGATTCTAGAGGTCAACATTTACGTGTTCTACTCAGCAACTTATTGTAAGATTAATTAGATTTCTTTGTATTTAACAAGCTTAATATGCTTTCTTTTCTTTACAGGAGAGTAAAGATCATAACTCCTGTGATCATGTTTTCAAGTCTGACTTGTTAGCTGTACTGGAGAAATGTGGCTTTTGTGGTCAAGAGATTGATAGCTTTGGGAAAATATGTGAAGGTGTAAAGATTGTCTTGCTCCATTCTATCTCTTTGTAGCATTTTTTTAAAAATATATTTGAGTACATGTGCAGGCATAATATTAATATGTGTTTATATTTCTCTGGGCATGCCAAGCTGATGGAGTGTATGTTTTCATTTACTTTATACATCAAAATTTATTTGCTTGTGTTAAACTTCATTTGTTTTAATTGATGACATGTATATCAAGATTTTAAACATTGTTGGAAATGAGAGTGAATTAGATTTTGAACACTTAGCAGCATTTTATTTGTGAACTCATTTACATAACTAACAAGAAGACAGTGTCAAGGTCATCCCATTTATTAACAATCTGATTTGCATCGTAATGAAAAGTAAAGAAAAACATTTTAATATATATTCTGAACTTGCAGGTTGTAATTTCCATTGCCATGACAAGTGTGAAAAGATGGTAAGAATTTAAGCTGTAATCACTGTAATTATTCTTTCATCTGATGCTTTGAAGCACTTATTCTCTACATATGAATGATATCAATTAGTAATTTGTAATTAATTAATTATTAATTGATGGTAAGTCATAATTTTGTGGTCGATACTGTAAGAGTGTACTTAGCAGGTACAGTTTTAAGAGTATAGTTTCGAGAGCACACTTCACTTATCACCATTTTAGCCCAGATATGACCAGATTTTATTGATTGATGGATAAAATTGAATGTTGGAAAGAGGGGTCATTGATGTGTGGGCTCACCAGCTTCCCTTGGTCGGGATGCCAAAGCAAAAATACTTTTTCCTTCTAACTTGGGGACAGTTTTTAAAAAGCCCATTTCCTTAATGTGGGAGAGCAGCTGTGGCTGGTATAGTTTCAAGAGAAAATTTCACCCATCACTATTATAATAATACTTTTAGTCTCTGCTGGGACCTTGGACTTTACTCATTTGCTGATTGATTTTGTTGTTGGGAAGAAGGTTAATCTATTTCTGGGTTCTTAAGCTTCTCTCCATCAGTGTGAAAAAGAAAAAACTCTTTCATTTTGACCTTGAACAGTTGGTAAAGAGCACCTTCCCTAAAGCTCTTTAACAATTTTTTCATTTTTTTATAAATTCAATATGTTCTTAATTTGATTTATCTTGTGCTTTTGCGATGACTATTTTACCAAAGGTCAAAGAGCAGTGCTCAAGACAAAGTTCTGTCAAATCAACACATAGTAAATTCAAGGTAATTTATACAAAATATCTTAATGGTAGATACACATAAATACACTTTGAAAAATAAGACTCGTCAGTCTTCAGTTTATATTACATGTATATCAAGGTAGTGACTCTCAAACTTGCAGACCAATGAGTAACCTGACTTTCCTAACACGTAAACTTCTAAGAGTGACTAGCATCTAATTTCTCCTTACAATATCATCCCTGAATCAAGCATTAAGGTCAAGAGAATAAATAAAGTTATCGTGAACTCAAGAAGCTGTTGATTGTTAAACAAACTCTCTTTGTCAGCACCTTACGAAATGTATAGAGAACAGTGTGGAGAATATGCATATTGATGTTAGGGCGTAAGGGGTGAGAAAATGTCAGACTATGCATTGCCGGGCCTAGTTTATGGAGAAATATGATCAGGTGATGATTATGACATGCTAAACTTATGTTCAAAACGTCAGGTCTTGTAAGACCTTGTACCTTTTGTGAGTATAATACCAGTAAAGGGTTCTGAAAACTTGATAAAATTTTGGGGCTAACTTGAAGTTAACCCTCTAACTCTCATGAATGACAAAGACAGAATTTACCCTTACATTATTAATGCAAAATCAAGAAGACAAGTCATTGGACCAATGAAAAATAT